TTAGTTGTTGGTTCTATTCAACGCCCCATTCCCTAGTTGGGTACCTCAAAATCATGAAAATATGTAATCATTTTAGAGGGTCATGATAATGAGGAATGTTCAAGAATACGTGATTTGTGAATGATTAAATGAAATTTGAACGTTTGAATATTTAGCATGTGGAAGAAGATAGAAGTAAATGAGAACAATGCTTGTTAAATCTGCATAAGGTGGAACAGAAACGGACGAACAATTAGCTGAATTTTTTATGGAGTTTAGAAGCATTCCTAATTATTTTGAATTAATCAAGAAATCAGCTGAAAGCTTTCCAATTCTCTATATTCAATAGAAAATGAAATGTGCACGCAACAATCAAAGAAAAAAAATTTGAAATATTGAAATATTCTGAATGCTGAATATAGTGAAAACACAAATATTCGATCAGGAAAAGGCTGTAGTGTTTGGTGAAAGTATTCTCTAGAAAAAGTTCAAGATATTAGGGTTAATGTAGAAAAGCTGTTCAGAACAAATTCTAGAATACTATTTCAAACAAGATATTATACCTAATATATACTGGAATTTAACTTTTTGAGTAACCTACCGATGCCAATGGTGAACAAATGCTATCAGACATTTGGGGTAAGAGGAACTGACGGTAAGACATATCCTTGTCAATTCGAGGTCATAAATCACAAACACGATGTAGCTTCCGTGTAGGAACCGATCCTTTCGATGTCTGCTTCAATTGTCTAATTTGAAGGTACAAACATCCCAATCTCGTTCCGTGGAACTCTACATACTACACCAGTTACATCTTTGTTTGTTCCTTTGCACATTCTCTAAATGTCCACTGCTGTAAGCTACGAAGGCGTTCTGAATTGGCCTCAAATGAAGCGGGCAACTTCAATGATTTTCAAAGACCAGTTCTTGTCTCAGCTCAAGGAAAAATAAAGGCCAATTGCCCAATATTTGGAAGGAATCAACATCGAAGGCTTTGCGTGCGGATGCATTGAATAATTTATTGTATCCATTTCCACTATCGATACTTGTAGTTTTTCTGGGTATCAAGGTATGGCATGAAAGCTTCTATGTAACAACGGCCAGATTCACGAATAGTAGAAGGCAACCATGTAGGTCGGAATGCACTACCATAAACAATCCGTCGTGCACTTCGAACATAGCCTTTTCAAGTCATAAGCTCTTCCCTTACGTCAAAGTACCGGCTCTTTAGGAATTGCTATAACCATGACATCCTCTAAGCATCCTATGCTATTTCTTCGCTTTTCAAATGAAGTCTTTCCAAAGGACCAAATTTATAAACTCCATAAACTGTCCAGAAATTGAAATACTATTCTCCGTGATAGATGAACGCTGAATAAAAGACGAGATTTTTATCATTCTTAAAAATGTGAAAAAAATAACTGCAGAAAGCAGAAACTTACGTCCTGATCTAATAAAATTAGTCAGAAAATCAATGAAATAGGTCTTGCTGAACACTCAGTATCATACTCCACCATATTTCTGTGTTTGAACTTGATAACCCATCAAAGCAGCTGCTACAGTTTTTCGCACAAGAATTTTTAGAGACCAATATTACATTAAATTGCTCCTTGAATGAATTGGTGTATAAAATGTTTATAGCGAGGCTTAAAAACAAATGATTGAAAGACAATGTCTGCATGCTGATTAACAGACGTAAGCCATCGACTGAGAAAATGATGAAATCATATTCATGTGGCTGAGATCAAATATGTTTCTTCGCCCCTACTACTATCAGTAGAGGTGACTAGTGGGGCGCGTGGCTCTGATGAGGCGGACGAGACTGCCGAAACGTACGTAAGCCACTAACATATAAACCTCGAAAAGGCTCAAGACATATCTCAAACTATGTTGGATGTTTATAACGAGGTTCGAAAGCAGCGATTTGTAGGGGGTTGTGTAGAACATTTATTCATAGAAAGTAGGCCACGCACTTAGATGTAGAGAGTTAAAATAAGCAATATTATTGAAAATAGCTTGCAAAAGATGAAAGGAACGAAAGAAATTAACGAACCTTTGCACATCGCTGCCAGACTGAGCGGTATGAAGCGATGGATTCCGTACCGAATACACCGAATCGATGTAGGTGTGTGGTAATGGACTGCAATACGTAGGATTGAGAACAGTAGTAACTATCCAAATGTTGTACAACAACTTTTATTCTTTACAAACGGAAAATCAACACACACTCATTAGAACATTGCGTATAGAATACACTATTTAGTACAAATTGATTGTTGTACAAAATGCTTTTGCGGAAGGCGCCGTTTTCGGCTGGCGGGCGATTCGGGCGTCTGTGAAAGGGAGGCTGGTGGCGCGCGCTCCAGTGCTAATGTGGCAGTTATCTGATAGAATTTACTCTTTTTCTTGCCGATAAATGGAGTTTACCGTCAGGTTTTCTATGATAATCTATTTTTCTTAACATAAAGTGCTCTAAGAGTCAAAATTTCACACACCAAACCAAAAAAATTTCGCTGTGATTTTGAAAAAATGAACTCTGATTGAAAAAATCTACTTGTTTGATGAATAAAAGGTACGGTAGAAGTCTTCTTATGAAGTAAGTTTAGCATTAGAATTAAGATTATTCAAACTATAAAGTTATCACTAAAAACTAACAAAAAGGAAAATATGTTTAATAACCGTTGGGAAAATTTTCTTTTTCACAAGGATGTGGTTTTCGCTTTCTGAAAATGCAAGGTTTCAAGAAGCATTGGAGCTGGTTTTTATTGAAATTATTCATACACAAGTTTCCTCCGTGAGATTCCGTTACTTGTTAGAAATAATCCTCCTTTAACAGCTTAGTCAACCCAATTTTGTATTAGGGCACGCACCAACATTCGTAGCCGTCCGGACAGGGTGCCCAGCTGAGGGCTAAAATGATCCTCATTCATCGTACGCAAAGATATATATATATATATGTATATACTCGAAATTATTTTTGATACCGCTTTCAATACACTGTTCATTTTGGCTAGCACAGGTGCTATAAGAATTTCAAGACCACTATATCGATCTACATAGTACTACGGAGCTAAATTTCTTGCATACTATTCTTCAGTGCCCGCGACCACGATTTTACATTGTTCCCTTTGTTTTCATTGATTCATTTGAAAACTTATGACAGCTTTTCATTTCGAAATTGAAGCACATATATGAGAAGTTGTGGTGCTGTTATTGTGAAAACGTCGTAGAGTCACTTTGGAAAAAAAGAACTACTCTTGCATTTTGCGTTGGAAGCATAAACATTGACAAAGTCAAGAATCGAAGAAAGAGTGGTCTTAAAGCCGTGGCCCTGATGGTATAGTAGTAGCACCCTTCCCCCCTTCAAGGGTGAAACACACTTTCAACTTTTGGAGGAGGGTGGAATTTTGAGTACCAGTTAATCTTCTTAAATGAATATTTCTTTATCATACCACTGGTAGAAAGTAGTTAAATCAAGGAAATATAGTATAAAAAAGCTCATTCACCGATCATTCATCATGTGAGTTGAAAAGAGATTATGAACTGATGATACAATGTTGCCTTAAATGTGCACACTGCCGCGTCACAGTAGTGTATAAGCATTCGATCAAAAAAAAAAACGACAATATCTCTTCGTGGATGATTTCTTGTCAACCACTGCTTTACCGAATACATAGTCGCTCTCTCTGATAGACTTGAAGAAGCCGTCTAATAACGCATAAAAAGCCGAGGAAAATTACGGGATTGTAGATTAACTAGGATAAACCCCTCATGTAAAACTTCCGTAACGATGAATGCAGTAACTACCTCAACCCTCAATTCGATGGATCCTCAATTCAAAAAGTCACATTCTGCTCATATCTGAGACAAAGTAAGAATTGACCAAAGAAAAATTTTGACTTTGTCGACATGATTGCTAATTTTAAGCCACCGTTAAACAAGTTGATACGATACTGTATCATCCTAAGATACTACGTGGCTGACGAGGCTGCCAGGCCGAAATAAGTGTGTATCGGGCTGTACAAGAGCCCATAATCGACCAAATGACATGTTGGCTTAAACAATTATCATGAGATATAACGAATTTTGAGCATGGCCTTAAAAAAACTCTCGAAACAAACGGGAAGCGATAGATTTTTCTTCAAAATGAGCGTGCACGTCAAATACAAGATTGGCTGGTTTTTGTAGTTTACATCTTTGTAGAACATTAGTCTTGAAATCCCATATTCAATATGCGCCAACAATTAGTATCTTTGTCTAGAACATTATTACATGGATTACAGGTGGATGAGAACATCAGAATAGATTTCCGAAGAATCAAAACTTCTGCGAGGCAGATAATTGAAAAGCAAGCCGTGCTCGTTGTAGGTGTAGTATACATATGGATTTACATGTGAATTGAGTTTATGATTTTTGGTGGCGGCTGATTCCCCATGAGAACAACGATGTAACCACCTTCTCTCGCATGATTGCTTGCGTGGCAACGAGATGAATGAAGAAAAGCTGAAATCCGTAGGAGATGTGAACATGAGTCATTAAATATCTATATGTTGCTCAATCTATTTATAAAGCGAAATTCTTTCGAATTTTTGGATGAAACGTCCTCAGTGAATCCCGTCCTGCACTGAGTATCTATCAGATTCGGCATAAAAAATGTGCAGTTTCACGATGTATAAAAGTGAAAAGTATAATTTTGACTGATTTGGATTATGCGGGGACAGATGAATATTCGACCTCATTCGCTGAACAGAAATTTTCATTAGAAGCATTAGCAAGTATTTGAAAGCGTGAATCTCTTGCCACAATGCTGCATGGTCGTGTTTCGAGAAGACCCTTTAACAACGTTGAAGCAGCAAGTTGCCTTCATTTCTATCACGTGTGTAATTCGCTAAAAGCACGAAAAAGTACATGAACGTGTAACTCGCGGTATCTGATTAAACTGTTTCAAAATTTCTAGCATTTTTACTGCATTTTTTGCAGTGTTATGATTATTCATATATTCCTAAGAGAATTAAGTGCTGAGCAAAAACACGGTCTCAGGAATTGAACCCGTGTTTCATCCTACGCGGGGACGAGTGCTCCACCACTGCACCACCGATGCACACTTGCGCCACCACTTATTCTCCAACATCTCTATGTTAGCTATCAGCCACCAACCCCTAACAAATGTGCCTCGGTGGTGTAGTGGTAGAGCACTCGTCCCCGTAGAGGATGAAACACGGGTTCGTTTCCAGCCTGAGGCATGTTTTTGCTCACCACTCAATTCTCTGAGGAATATATGAAGGATTAAACTGTTTTAATCCGAGTTTATTTCAAAGCGTAGGAAAAATTTCTGATTGAATAATAATTTGCAGCTCACATGTCGCCCTGACCCGTGGATTAGCCGGTAAACAAGCTCGTTGAAACTCGATCTTATTTTCCCTGCTAAACTGCATTGAAACGCTCTTTCTAGAAAATAAGCACAGCCTTGGAATGATTGATATTTACGCTATCGAATCTAATAGTCTCAAGAAAGAGCACTGTCCGGCGAGGTGTAAAACACAAAGATTTTCTCTCTCCTACGCGCTATCAAAAGAGCTGTTTCAAAAAGCAAACATAGTTTTCACTTTTCGAGTTTTTCGCGATTTTTGCTATCGAAAGAATACTATCAATCCAAAAAGAAGTTTTGTTCAGCGAAATATAAGCGAGATAAGAAAAAAAAAACGCATGGTCGTGTAAAACATGTAATATCAAGCCAACTGCATCAATCACGTCAAATCTTTTGAAAAAAGTGCCCCACTTTTTATACCCTGAAAACCAATGATAACAGCGGTCTGTGTTGGAAAATATGCGTGTGCGTACACTTTTTTCCCGGAATTTTGTTAGACCTCCTTTTTCGTTACTTTTGACCTCTTGGCTTTTTCCGCTTTAGTTGGCACTTTTTTCTTGCAAAATATTTCATTAGAAAAAATCGCGTGTACTGTAACCGTCCTTTGTTTTTTGCAAAAATCAAACCGCTCCCATCTACTGAATTTAAGGATACTTCTTTCAGGTGATGAACCGTTTCTTAATTTACGAGAGCTGAGTTATGAAGGAGAAACAGTCGAGTAAATCATAAAATTAATATTTCCATCATAATGATTTATACGATGCGTCATCAGACTTTGGAAATCCCAGTACTTCTTGCATCAATTTGTTTCCTTACCTTTATCGTCCGCAAAGGTCTTCGAATATTTCGCCTGTTTCGATTTATCTTCCACAACATTACCTTCTCTATGAGTCGTGAAATGCTGGTCGAGTCGATTAATCTTACAATCTTACAATAAGTGAGCTAGGGCGACGTGAGTCGCAAAAAAAAAAACAACGAGACAGGGGCTTGGATCAACCCTCACTTTCTAGTGCTGCATCACTAGCCACTCTGCTATTTATGCTCTCTTTCGCCTATCAGCTCGGTCAAGATTAAACTTGGTTTCGTGTGCTGTTCTAACACGAGCGTGCTCTTATTCCAGTCGCCTCTTCATTTTATATTCTTTCACACCGTTTCGTCGACAAGCAAAATGCGATTAGAAAATACAACTGCAAACAACGGACGGTTGGACATGCATTTTAGAGAAAAACGGTTATTTACTGCATCAGATGTTTGTGTATATGACGCACATCTCTGAATAATCGATACTTCAAGCTACGCTTCCTCAAACGAGCAACCGAGACAGATTTCGACAATGGTCGGACTGCTCTTATATTGAGGATGCGCGTGACACAACTATCGCTACATTACTTTGGATAGAAAATATGTGTGTGAACGAAACATGTGCTAGTATTGCCTTGACGGCCAAGTTATTCATCAAAATTACCACGAGCCTCAAAGCCCTTGCAGCAGTTCGACTATAAAAATATAGAAATTTCTACCAAGACGTATAGTGGCTCTCAAATTATGTTTTTTTTATTAATCTTCATGCCATAAAGTTAGTTATTAGAAGGCAATAAATAAATACTCAACCTCATTCGCTCGACAAGATTTTTTTTATAGAAGTGTTAGTAATCATTTAAAGCTCGCTAGAGCCGTGCGTGCTTGGTTTTTACAAAAACCCTTTCATGACGCTGTAAAATCCGAAATAAATTTATGTTTCAAAATCGCACTTTTTTTCTTAACTCATTTATATTTCACTGGACAAGACTTTTTACGTAAGCTACCAGTACTCCTTCATTGCCACAAGTCTTGAAGAACTCAAAAATGCATTTGCTTTTTAAAAAGCTCTTTTTATAGAGCTGCAGGAGAAAGAAAACATTTGTGCTCACATGTCGCCAGACAGAGCTTTTCCCCTAGATAATTAACAATTATTTGATAGCGTTTTTTCAGTGATTCCAAGGCTCTCTTATTTTCTGGAAAAACCGCTTTACAGTTTCCAGTTTCACACACTTGGCGAGCTTGTTTACCGGCCAACCCAAGGGAGGGGGCAGGGTAACCGATCGCTGCTTTGACGCGTTGAGCATGTGGTGTGCAACTCGTTTTAGATAAGGAATCTTTTCTCCGCTCCAATAGAAACTCCATATAAAACGACTGGCTCAGATAGTACGATATTTTCTCTACACACTCATACTTTTTCGTGCTTCCCGCGAATTATACGCGTGTGAACAATGAAAGCGCATGCAGAGTGTAAAACACAGTTTTCTTTGCATTTTATAGCTTGTGAAAAGACTTTTTAAAAAAAACCGGCTGCGTACGGCTTTGTTAGAGATTTAATCTTTCGAATGATTGCTAACACTTCTATGAACAGTTCCTGTCCAGCGAATGAGATTGAACATTCCTCGCCGTCTAACATATAAGTGCCACCATAAAAACAACATGCAATTACCAAATATGGATATATAATCGTAGTACTAACTTTTTTATAGCCACAATATGCTAATAGGAATGGAATCAGTAGCATGGTTGTATGAAGCTATTGAGTAGTAGCTGTGTGATAACAGTTAGAAGAGATGTCATGTTAAGCTCAAATGAAATTTTGTTTTACAAATTCACAAAGCGATAGCTGAAAGCATGAACGATATATCTAAAGGCGCCATCGAAATCTGAACGAAATTCTTTTGTTTGTTTGCGTTCGTCTCTGAAATATGAGTATCGATGAACTAATGATGGAGAGTAGTTACATTAAGGCTCAGAAAAAACGTTTTTTCCATCTTTCTCATAGGATGAGATAGAACATATCCTGTAGACAATGATCTGTTGATTCTAATAAGTTCTATCATAGGTGACAGGTGTAATCCATACGTAGCACCTTGAATCTTGCTGATTCAGATATTATTGACAATTTCTTGATCACTGGAGTAATCCAATACCTATGACTTACTTAGATTTGTGAAAAGGCATTTGCTCTATCACCTTGGTTATAATACTACTTTTTATATTGTTTCGGTATTGATTGAGTTTAGTATTAGATTTTTTGAGAGAATGTAAATGTAAATCAAAATTATGGAATGTCCCATAGAAAAGCTGCAGCTGCAGATCTAAAAGTTGCATTGAGAACAATCGGATCCTGTCGGACGAAATTCTTTCTTGTTCAGATAAATTCGCGTTCGGAAAGCGACACCCACCAAAAACTGTGAAAAGCACGTTTTGTTGGACACAAAAACCTAGATTTCATGAAAAATTCTCTTGAAGAATCGGAAAAATTGTTTCAATGGCACACTTTTTAGCTTTACATGGCTCTCATTTGAATCATAGAAACTCGAAATAAGTCAAGATATACCCAATGATGTAAAGTGATGTGCAAAACTTTCGCGTCAGGTGGGAGTCGAATCCACATTTTACTTCATCCGGGGTATCGTACTCGAGCCGTTGCACTACCGACGCCTATTTTGATATCACTACCTTAACGCTACGACTCGCCTCTCGAGCACGCGCCCCACGGATAGAGTGAAATGTGGGCTCGAGTCTCAACTGAACAAACGTGTTGCACATCACTTTACATCATTGGGCACATTAATATCATACCACCGCTTTAACTAAAAAAAAACTCTGTTTGATAAGCCAAAGTATGCCCGTACACGACCACTATTTGCGGACCGAAGTATGCTTTGGAGCAAATAATGGAAAACGAAAGACTCACGATGGCACGGGTGGAACGTAGGTGCCGATATTTAGGCCCGAGGCGTCACAATACTTCGCGACGGCGTTGGTCTTCGTACGCTTTTCAGTGGTGAGCATCACCGAACGAGCACCTAAGAGACACATCGAGCGCTAAGATGTCGAAACATCTTGGCTTCACTTCCTCACTCACATTCATCACACTAGCTTTTCGCTTAGCTTCTTCTACCGACTTGTCGTTTTCGCCTGAACTTCGCAAAACAGTCATAACGAACATATGGCCGGCTCATAACGGCGTGATGCATCATAAAGTGATTTGTATTACGGAAAATTTGAGCTGAGAAAAAATACTGCAGTTGAATGACGAGCGAATGATTGATATGGTGGGACATAAAGAATTGCAGAAACGATATGAATACAGGGGTCATTCGTTGTAAACAAAATATATTCGGTTCAGAAAAACTTGAGAATTTTCTCTAACAAAATATTGCACATTACAAAATGGATATATGGCATTCAAGGCTACCAAAAAAGATCAACAAAAATAATCATCGAAATGTTCACATTCAAATCTAATCAAAGAAGAACTGAGTTTTCGAGCAATAAGATTTCTACAAAGTTGCACTCCATCTACGTCTTTGTCTTCTCAAACGACTTATTCGTAGCTCGATAGCTGCAGATAAAAAAGTAAATCGCTCTTGTTGAACAAAGATTATGATAGAGAACTCTCTCCACTCTTTTTTCTAGTCAATTTGCGAGCACTCAAAATGTTGTTTCGATTATTTTATACGCAGCCCATATTTCAAATGTATTTCGATAATCATAACGCTTCTTCAGTTTGATTCGTTTCTTTAAAAAGTTCAGTGAAGAAAAAAATTTGGCCACGCTCGCAACACCTTATCGATAAAAACAAAACTTTTACAAGCAATACCTTCCAATCGACAATTTTGAGATCTCGCTTAAAAATCTATACAGTTTGATAGATGGTTTTACACCTTTCATAAGATCTGGCATAGCATCTCGAAGCATGTGAG